TATGACACATGCCCTCTGCGCACACCTGAAGCCATAATCAGAATAAGGAAGACCTACCTTACACTGTCTTTGTATCTCTGCTGGGCTGCTGCTTGTTTTTCTACTTTTATTTGCCCTGAGCCCTAATTCCCTCACTGCTTTAAAAAAAGGTCCCATTATATTGTACATAGAAGAAAGTTTAAGTCATCTTAAATCTTTTTTGGAGCAAGAAGGAATAGATCTTAATTAGAACCTCCCTCAAAGGAGCTCTAAGTGCAGATTTCTGCCACACTAAATGTAGAAAGGAAGCAAACTGCTACAAGTGATAAACACTGTAACAGCAGGGTCTGCACACAGTAGGCCCTACACAAATGTCAGTTCTGGTTTTTTAAATGATGGAATCTGAAAGACCTCCAGAACACATAAGATGAACTGGATAATAACTACTTTGAAAGAAACAAATGACAAAAAACATCAGAAGAAACAAACAAAAAAGGCTGTAATTCCATGGTGAAAACTACAGAAGAACTGAAAAATTCTGGAAGTAGTAGTTGGTATAACTGAAACAACAGAACAAAGAAAGCAGTGATGTCGAGGGTAACATGAGACATGAAACCAGACATGTAGACAAAGGAAATAAATGCACAAATAACTAATTTGCAAAATGGAAAATGGGAAACAGCCTTCAAATGAGAGCGAGAGCGATATGAATGGGAAACATCAGGGAAGAAGTAATACAAGAAAAGTTTCCCAGGATGAAAACACAGCTCAGCCTAGAACCAAAGAGCATGCACTGTGCCTTTCAAGTTTTATTCTGAGGGAAAAAAAAGTAAGCATTTGCTAGTTAAAGTAGTTAAAGATAAATTATCTAGGCAAGCTGACATGAAGGGAGATATGTCCTTTTGAAATTGGATAAGAATGACAAGAGGACTGACAGCACAAAGAGTGAAAACAAGATGAACCTCAGGAAAAAATGTGTAATTCAAACCACACATGTATTCTAACCCCATCTCCATTATGCTCCTAAACAAGACTGCTCTGCACAGAAGAAAAGAAAGTCATTTAAAAATTAGGGAGAATCTGTGCACAATTATACTTTTCAAAAACAAAAGAGAAAGTGTGATTTTTTACCAAAATATAAAAGACAAAGCTGATATAACAAACTGTTGGAATTAGAATGGAAAATTAAAAAAGAAAGAACAAATGATCTGACAAAATTGAGTCACTCCTAAGATTTAACCTATAGCTAATAATTCCCAAATCCTGCTCCTCTGAGTTTTGGGTCTGAATATCCCACTGCCACCTGGACACTTTCATACACACCTCAACACCATAACCCTGCTTTCAGCCACCCCATCCCTGGCTAGTGAGTGACTTCAATGCCCATACCATTGCCTGAGCTGGAAACCTCTGAATTCTCTTTGGTCCCTTCCATGTTCCCAGCCACCCCTCAACCCCATCCATTTGTGTGAGTCTGCTAGGGCTGCCATAACAGATATCACAGACTAAGTGGTTTAAACAACAGAAATTTGTTTTCTCATAGTTCTGGAGGCTTTAAGTCCAAGATCAAGGTTCTGGCCGATGTGGTTTCTGGGTGAGATCTCTCTTCCTGGGTTGCATCCTCACATGGCCTTTCCTCTTCCACATGCAGTGGGAGCTCTCTTGACGGTGCTCAGAAGGACACTAATCCTATTGGCTTAGGGCCTCACCCTTATGACCTCATTTATCCTTAATTATTTCCTTAGAGGCCCTACTGCCAAGTACAGTCCCATACTGGGGTTGGGGCTTCAACATATGAATGGGGGGGCCCCGGTCCTCTCACCAGCCATCCCTAGCATTGACTCTGAGGTACTTCTGCACCCAGTAAAGTTGCAACCGAATGCACAGACAGGCGATCTGAGCATGCCTGTCCAGCAACACCTCTTCCCTTGTCTCGGTGTTGGGAGTCCAACTCCTTCACTAGAGTTCAGTCAGGACTTTTCCCTAAACCAGCAGCTGCTCTTCCCCCTTTCACCCCAAGGCACTCTGCTAACCCAACCTAGTCTCAGGTCTGCATGAAGTCTGACACTGACACTCAGCTCCAGGGCTTTGTCATTTTGCATGTTGCCAGACTTCTCTGGGCTTGAACCTTTTTGAAGGTACTTGGTCCCAGGATCACCATGTGGATAAATAAACCAGTCTCCTAGGTTCCAGGCCCTTTGCAAACATTATTTCTGGACCTATGAAGTTGGTGTAATTATCATCATTTTAAGAAAGTAGAAACTGAGGCTTGGAGAGATGCCCTGCCTGAATCCACTACTGTCTGGTCTAGAGAGCAGGTCTAGGGAGCACGTCTGTCCAATTCCATAGCTGCTGCTGCCCAGGCTGTATCTCAGGAGAAGTAAAGGCATCCAGGGACGTGGTCTCACTTGGAGCTGCACGTCCATCAGGGGTCACCCCAGGTGCTGCTCTGTGGTCTAGAGGCCTGTGGGCTTGAGTCTCCTAGCAGACAAGCAGGCAGGCATGTGCTCAGGACCACTGCTGGCTCCACAGACACTACTTTGCTGTGCTGGGGAAACGACCCACTTTCCAAGCCCGCCCGCCCTCAGGCCCGCCCTGCCCCACTCCCACTCCCTATTTAAGCTAGAGACCCTGAGTGGACTCCATTCAGCCCAGGCACCGCCAGCTTCCGGAGCTACGAGAGCAGCCCTGCAGGCCTCACTCCCTCGGGGATGAAAGGTCCTTCTGTCTCACCATTTCCTACTGGTGCGTTTTGAACTATGAGGCTGAGCTGGGTTATAGCGGGAGCTAATTCCGCTCGCCTGGGAGTGTACTGAGGTGTGTAGCTGGGGGAGGGAAGCTCTGACTGAATTTTTCCCATTTCTAGTCCTTGACTTGATGTGATCTTATTTTCAAAGGAGAAAGGCTGTAGTTTGTGAAAGGACAGAGGAGAGCATATTTCAAAACAAGGACTGGTTCAGAATATCAATGATCTGACAAGTTTTTCTTTTCTTTTGAAAACAGAGAAAAGTCCCATAATTTCAAGGTTGTAGAGATTACATTTCCCCTCAGGAACCCCTCCTTAAATAGTCAGTTCCTGTCATTTAATTCTATTTTGAAAAAACACACAGGGGATTTTTCAGAAGAGTTTGGTCAGGGAGAAAGGCTGGGCATCTGGAGGGGGACACTTTGGGGAACATGTGAGGACAAAGAGCCTCCTTGACCAACTTCTCGTTGGGACTTGAAGGGTGACCCTCCCCACTCCAACGAGAGCTGCATAGGCTGGGGTGGTACAGGAGAGGCCTGCCTCCTTCATGCCCACTTCCAGATGCTTGCCAGCCTGTGCTCGAGAACTAGGTCCGCCCAGGAAGAGGGTGAGGGACAGAGGTGCACGCAGGCCGGCCATTAGCCTACCAAGGGTAAAAAGGCAGGTGTCCCAAGTACAGGGACAAGACCTCCCCAGAGATTAGGACAACAGGTCACCCTGGGGCCTCCTAGCAGGCTAGACTCCTCAGGCTATAGGTGGGGAAGGATATCTGCCAGGTGCTTAACTCAGGAAACAAGCCAGGGTATCCATAGGGGCCCCTAGGGAAACACAGGTCATCTCTTGTAGAGTGAGGACCTAGGAGCTCTGGTTTCCATTTTCCCACCCTGATCTGGGAACATCAAGCACCCATGCTCACCTGGCCACGCAAGACCGTGGAGTGACCCCTAGTATTACAGGGGAGGGAGTAGCTGAGGCTCAGCGGTTAAATGACTTGCCCCAAACCCTTCAGCTGGTGGGTGGCAGACCCAGGGCTAGAATCCAGGTCTCACTGGAGCTTCTCTACGTGGAATCCTAATTAGGAGAGAGCCAACTGTTCGCCAAGTGAGGGGACACTCCGACCAGCCCTACTGCAACATCTTTGTCTTGGGACGGGGGGATTGGGATTCACATTTCAGATCCTTTTCAAACACGGTAGTTCGGTTGATTTGCAAAATAAGCGTATATGAAGGACAGCGACTGGTTCAGAGGGCCCTGGGGAGTAACAGCTGCCTCAGGATGTGGGGGTAGTAATAGCGCTCTGGGCCAGGCAGCAGAACTCGCTTGAGAAGGTGGTGGGCCGAGCAGCGCGGCGCAAGGCTGCCCCAGGTAGGGGCCGAACTTCCCAGGCCAGGGTCCAGGGACCGGGGCCAGGAGCCAAGGAAGGAGCTGCAAGGTCGGGGAGCTTGGGGCTAGAAGACGAAACTAAACAGCTCGAGGTCAGGGGGCGCGGTCGGAGGGCTGAGAGGGGCCAGGAGTCTGGGGGCCCAGCCAAAGTGTCGCAACGGGGCGGTGCTACGGGTCCAGGGGCCGGGCCCGGAGGGCGGGGGCGGGGCCGGCACCTGAGGCCAGGGGCGGGCGAAGGGGCGGGGCGGGGCTAGAGGGCGGGCCCGGCCCACCGCCCTGGAGACCGACCCTCCCCGACTGGGTCAGACGGGGCGCGGGGAGTCGGGGGTCTCGGGCCCAAAGGCCTCCGCCCCCACGAGTGCCCTCCCAACCTCCCCTCCGGAGACCCCGCTGGGCTCACGAAGTATCCCCGCTGAGCCTCCCCTCCCCCGTTCGGTCCCCCTTCGCCCTTTTCCGCTGCCAAATACCTCCAGTTCTCTTCTCAGCGCGGCTTTCTTCCCCACCCACCCCCGGCCAGGTGGCCGCGGTCCCTCGTCCCGGGTCTGGGTTCAGCTCTCCCCAGCCCCCAGGTATCTTTGCGAGGCTGAGATTACACAAAGCTCCTCGATTGTTCTAGCCTCGCCTATCAGATCCAACCCAGGCCTCGCGGCCGGAGCCCTGGCCTCTCTCCGCCCCGGGCCCCGCACATCCGCGGCCTGGCGCGTGTCCAGCTGTCCACGTAGAGGCCTCATGCCTCCCACCTGCGGAGTCCTCCCGGGGCCAGCCCAGATGTCACACAAGCTCCGCCCCCAGCCCCTCTGGCCGCTCTTCGTCGGCGCCCACACCCTCTCCTCGGCGACGCGGAAGGTGTGGTGGTGCCTCGGGCGCAGGTGGGGCCCCTCGATCTTTGTACCTGGGTCACCTGCACGGCACTGCTCCGTGGCTGTCTGTCGAGTTCCGGGCAACGCTGAACCGCTCATCTCTTTTCAGGTCCTTCCTCCTCAGGGTGACGCCCCCTCCTGAGCCGCAAGAGAAAGAAGGTCCCAAGGGCCCTTCCGCAGGTGAGCAGGGCTTTTGGAAGGTGGGGTGAGGGGGCTCTTCTGGCCTCCTCTCATGGACTCCTTATAAATTTTTTATATAAAGTGGTGCTGTGCAAGATTGTGTAAGACAACTGCTTGGTTAAAAAGTTTAAAAGCACAGCTCTGGGGTGAGCCATCTGGGGCCGGCAGTCTTGCCCAGTCCTGAAACTGCCCTCACGTGAAGTACAATGCAAGCAGAGGGGGTGTGTCTGATACACTCAAATCTGTGGAGAAAGGACAAACTCCTTCAGTGAAGAAGAAAAGGAGAGGCAGCACTTCACAAAAGTAAAGGAATATGATTGAAATATCCTGGAAAATGTAACCAGATATCATTACTCACTGAACTATTATAAAAATTTTTAATGCTTTAAACCCAGAGCCAGTAAGGAAGCTATGAAACACAAACTCTCAAACAACTTTGGTGGAAAGCAATTTGGCAATATGTATCAGCAGCTTTAACGTTTACCCAGTAATGCTACTTTTGAGTCCATCCCAGAGAAATAATTCAAACTACTGGGCCATTCTCAGGAATAAAAGCAAAAACTAGCAACAGAGTGACCCCCTGACAGTTGGGAATCTCAGACCAAGAGCCAGGAGAGCAAGACCATTTCTAAGAACCCACCCCTTCCCAAATACTGGCTAATTAAATGCTTTCGGGTCCTAGGGAAGGTCACCAGGCTGGGGGTAGGGGGTCTTGGTTTTTGATGTGATGTTGACTGTATGGAAGAACAAAAGAAGAGGTGGATGAGGCTGGTAGTCCAAGGAAGATTTGGGGGGTTCTTCACTGGGCTCAGTGGAGTGCGTGACAGATATAACCTACAGAAGATTGGGAAAAAGGGGTGAAGATATTGTTCTGGAGAAACTGAGGGGGAAGAACAAGCAAGACGAGGAGAATAGTGTGGAGGCTTTGTTAACACTTCTCAGAATCTTGTCCTGGGTGGGGGGGGGATCGGAGCATGGGGGGGACCTGGGGGCTGGACAATAGACAGCAATTATTTACTTATTTTGAATGTGTTTGCATATCATTTGTATTCAGCCTTGTTGACAAAGATAGAGAGGAAAGGAAAATTGAAGCCAGATGACTTGGCCTCACCTTTCAGGGACTGTCATTTACTTGCCCGAGACTCAGTTTTCTCATCTGTAAATGGAGCCAACAACACCCATTTCAGGTGGTTGTACAGTGTAGAAGCACCATCAGTTTAAAGAGCACATTCTGTGAGCTGTGTGCTGTGCAACATCTGCTTGGATGTCCCTAAGAGGTGGTCTGTTATTTCTGCCTTTCTGATGCTCATTTTGAGTCTTCCTCATGCCTTTGCTGTGGCTGATTGTGGCTGTGACCCCACCTCAGCAGGGAAAGAGAATGGAAGGGAGGGAGGAATGAGTTTGAGGTCCAGAGCAGGCTGTAGGTGGCCCCAGGTAAGTGGGGTTGCTAAAGCCACCCTGGGTGGACTCCAGGTCTGTGGGGGTGGGGCTTATACTTGTCAGTCATCAGGGATTCCTATTATCTGCCTATTATGTGCCCAACACACATTTAGGGTCAGATGATGGGATAAAATACTGAGTGCCTGCAGGGGACACAGGCCTCAGAGCTGAAAACCGACTCCCCAGGACTGGAGGTAGAAGTGGGTGTGTAAGCACCTCACTCCACACCCTTGGAGCCAAGGCTGCTGGTGTTGCCATGTGGGCAGTGTCTCTGGTCCTGCAGAGACAACCCATAGGTTGTCTACGCATAAGACCTTCCCTCCTTTTGCTTTGAGGGATGGAATTTGCCAAAGTTGCTCAAGCCTCCTCTCTCTCATTTTTGTTTCTGTTGGTAGTATTGAAGGTGTGAGGGGCTGGTCACCTTTCTGGGGTATAGACTGCAAATTTGTGCAATAAATGCACAGAAACTGCCAGCTGTTGAGAGAGAAATGATTTCACTCATCTGTGGAGTATAAGAACAAAGAAAAAACTGAAGGAACAAAACAGCAGCAGACTCACAGAACCCAAGAATGGACTAAGTTACCAAAGGGAAAGGGACTGGGGAGGATGGATGGGATAAGGGGAAAAAGGGGCATTATGATTAGCACATATAATATAGGGTGGGGGGCACGGGGAAGGCAGTATAGCACAGAGAAGACAATGATTCTATGGCCTCTTACTACACTGATGGACAGTGACGGTAATGGGGTATGTGGTGGGGACTTGATAATGGGGGGAATGTAGTAACCACAATGTTGCTCAAATTAACTGTATATTAATGATAGCAAAAAAAAAAAAAAAGAGAGAGAGAGAGAGAGAGAAATGGCCTGTTTGAGCCAAGCCAAAAGGCCCCAAGTTATCCCTAGGCCATAAAGTAGGGGACTGGCTGGGGTTTTGTGACTTCCAAACCTCGAGCACTGCTGCTGAGCCTCATCCCTCCTTGCAGGTGACGGCTACAGGGGAACAGTCCCAGAAAAGGCATGGAGGCCTAGGTGGCTGTTGAGGGGAGTGCGCAGGTCAGGGGACCTGAGTCTCCAGAAGTAGGAGGGGATGCAGAGCCATGTGGCTGCTGGGCCGAGCCTGCCCTTCTCTGCCTGGGGACTTAGGCATCTTCCTGGGGTCAGCAGGGGCTATGAAGAGCTTAACAGGGGAGTAATGTGGTCCTCTGTGCACATGGGCCAGAGGTGGGGTGGCCAGCTGCAGGAAGACCAGGAGGCGGTTGTTGCAGTGTCCAGATGGGAGAGGTATGGAGACAAGGGGTGAGGAAGGCAGAGCTGTGGGCTGGGGAGAGGAGGCTAGGTCTGGAGGGGTCCAGGGCCCAGGGATACTCTGGAGACAGCTGGCATCAGGGAAGTGGAGGGAGAGGGATTATGGACTTTTAGGGGGTCAGAAATCAGACAGACATCTAGGCTGGCTGTCACCTGGGAACAGGTGACCCATGAGGTATTAACCAAGAGAGAAGAGGCAGGCGAGACCCAGCTCCTAAGCTTAGGAAGGGGAAGAGGGGACAAAAAGAGAAGGAGCTGCACCAAGGGCAGGAAGTGAGCAAGTATGGTGGCCTGGGACCAAGGGCAGAGAGCTGGGGGACAGCTGAGGGACTAATTACATCAAGCTGTGCAAGCCTCGTGTTGGGCCTATTTAAAAGAAAAATCTGGTTGAAACTGTGGGGACCATTTTCTCATTGGTGCAGACCTCTGTTCTGGACCTTCTCTTTCCAGAACTACCAGGAAGTCCAGTGAGACTCCCTGTCCACCATCTGTCTAGCACTGGGGGTGGTGCAGTAGCCTCAAGCTAGGTAGCTTTCCAGCCCCTCAGCCAGCCAGAGGCCTCCCAGAGTGCTGGGCCCAGACCTGGCCAGCACGGGCTAGGCTCTCGCAGCTCTGAGCAAGAGGGCTACTTGAGACTAGCTTGATCTGCACGGTGTACGTGGGTTGCTAACCCGACATTCTAAGCATTTAAGTTAAACCCAACCAGGGATAGACCTGTATGAATGTGTCAGATCCTCCTCCCTGCATTTCCTTGTCTGCAGTCTGAGATCTGGTGGTCATTGTGGTCACCCAGGGCATGGCTGGCAAGCAGGAGTGGCTCTGCCTCCCTTGTGCCTACTCTCAGCTTTCTCTGACTCTCCACCTTACCTCCCTTTCTTGCACACTGCTTGCTCCACCCACCTCCCACCACTTTTCTGTCTCCATACCCTCTAAGAGGACACCCCCACACTCAAATATACACACCTAGAAAGCAAAAGCTCTGCCCCCAGAAATTCCTGCATCCTTGCTGTGAAATACCCGAACAGTCACAGTGCCACATCTGACTCACGGGGGCTGGTGACTCACAGCACACACACTGAGGGGTGGGAAGGAGCATGCCTCCCACCTGGTCTGAGTTCAGAGCAGAGGAACATTATTGCCATTTAAAATGATCTTTCTTGAAGAGAGTCAGGTCTGGAGGGTAGATCTGGCTATATTCCTGGGAAACCAAGGGCTGTCAATCAGTAAGGCTTGTTTTTGGTAAATGGGTTGATTCAGTGCCATATCAGAAGCCTTCCTCTGCTGGACAGGGATAGGTTATGCTGTGGCTTATAATCCAAGGTTTCTTCTTGTTCACACTTCACACAGTTAGTGGGAGCCTGATCCAGTCCTCACCCTGGGACCCAGGCTGATGGAGCATCTGCCCTTTGAAACCACAGGTCGATGTAGCAAATGGAGAGGACTCCAGAAGGTCTCACACCTGCTGCTAAGTAGTCTGGCCCAGCAGTGACACATATCACTTTCACTCACAGCTCATTGGCCAGAGCTAGTCCTGTGGTTCCACCCAACCTCAAGAGGACAAGGCAGTGCAATCCTGCCTTGTGCCTGGAAAGCAGACCCCTGCTGTTTCAGGGGCCAGAGGAAGTGAGGCAAGTCCCATCCTAGGCTTGGAGGCATATGTGGACAAAAGGAGAAACATCTATGGAGATCTTTACAAAGGCAAAGCATGTTTATCTTTTAAGGAGTCACTCCTGGATGAAGATGTGTCAACAGCCTATGCTAGCATGTCTATGCCAGCAGTCTGGGGACACGCAGCCTCTATGACCAGAGATGAGAGTTCTTGTTTCCCTTTTCAGAGGGGCAGGATCAATAGCCGAGAGCAGGTGTAGACAGGGCTATCACTACTGGAGGAGCAGGGCTGAGCTGACACCCGAAGCCTCAGTAGACCTTGGCAGGCAGGTTTGGTGGCAGCAGTCAGAGAGAACCCGGGGGGGCTGCAGACCACCATGATCTCTTCCCCATGGTCTTTGCTGGGAACAGATGACTAAGTCACAATCTTATGCAAACGAATCTGTAAGTCTGTCCTGCAGCCCTCCCAGGCAGCAGACTCCAGCAGCCCCCAATCCCCCTGAGTTACACGTTCTAAAGCAGGCACTGGACATCCCCTCAGGCAGGTCAGAGGCCTCCCCAAGCAAGCAGGCCTTGGTTCAGCCTGAACTGGGGGATCCTCTCAGGGGAAGGGGTTCTGGCCAGT